GCAGTCCCAAAAGTTAATGGATATGCATGCAGTCCCAGAGCATGGGGAGCAGAGACTGTAGTAGTTAGGGATGGGATGCTGGTGCCTGTACATTGCTCCCATGTGCCAGTGATGACACACAACAGCTGCTGAGCGCTGGTCTCCCAGAGGAGCACTCACATTGGCACCTTGTACCCCCAAGAGCATCTACGAGGGAATTAGCCACCTATTTTTAGACAGCTGTGATTCAGCACCGGAAAAAGATGGATGTCTTCGCTGTGAGCTGGGATGCTGAACTCCAGCAGCCGGCTGTGCAAATTGAGCACACTTGTTCAGCTGAGCCTGCAGAGGAATGGAGCCCTTTGTGACAGACGTGGAGCTCAAGTGACCCCGTGGAGGGTTTGCCTCCACAGGATCTGACAGCCCGACATCTCCATGGATCTGCAGATGTGTATCAGCCCCAAAATCTCCTGCTGCAGCTGTCTGCCAGGAGTCTGCCCGAGGGTGTGTGCCAGATGGGAGCTGCTCAGCCAGTACTGCTCCAAGCCCTTGCTTTCCCAGAGCTGTAACTCACCCGGGTGCTTAACCGCTGACTCCTATCTCCCCTCCTTCTCACCCTAAAGCCACTCAGCTGCACCATCACAGAGGTTATGAACCTCTGCATCAGAGGGGCGAGGCAGCAGAAGAGCTGCAGCCTGGGGAGATGCTCATCCAAACCAATTTTCCTTCCTCGTTCAATTCTTAATTCACTTCCAGCTACAGATGCATGTAAGTGCTGCCCTCCTCCTTTTGGTGCGCCTGTTCTGCTAAAGTTCAACAAGTCCACGGGACAAAGCAGAAGACACTGAAGCTGCTTTGCAGAGTATCTGTCAGAGTTGTGCTGAATTTCAAACAATAGCAGTTCAGAATAGGGAACTTAGCAGCTATGGTGTTTCTGTGCTATAAACAAAGGAAAAATGCTGTGTGCATCAGCAAAAGGCTTTGTATTGTAAAGCACTCCCTTTATGCCCGACCAGGAGAGAATTCAAATGATTATTGACCCTCCGCTGTAGGAAAGCTGCATTATAATATCTCCAAATCAATAGAGACAAGAGCAGAGCGGCAAAGAAAGGCCACGGCTCTGCAAACTGCAGAAAATCGCATTTTGCTTTGGCCTCTTAAAAAGTTTGCAAAGCATCTATTAGAGGCCCCCAGAGCCTTTTCTTTCTAATTGCCGTGTTTGACAATGCAGTTCGCACAGGGGACTGGCGGAAAGACAGATAATGGACCCACTTTAATTGCTTCCCAGTTCCGTGAGTCATAACACTTCTGAGATGGCAAAGGGGAAACGAGGCAGTTTGACTGAAGGAGGATCCTGGCTTTTAAGAAAGCTCTGGAGGAACAAATGCTAAACTCAAAGCCAAACTCTTGGAGAGACTGAAGGTTCCAGGTGCTGGATTTTCTTTCATCTTCTGCTTTTGACTGGGACTATTCAATTAAGTTTTAATCATGTTTGGTAGGGGTAGGTAGGAATGGCTGTTCTGTGTGGCGATGGAAAGGGCTGAGGGCAAGGCAGGATGGGTTAGGGTTAGGATTAGGGTTGGGGTAAGGGTCCTTGGTTTGTTCAACCCATAGCAGAGGGAGTGGAGGGTCAGCACCGAGCTCTGCCCTCTGGTGACATTGACAGGGCCCAAGAGAATAGCATGGAATTGTGTCAGGTGGGGTTAGGAAAAGGTACCCAGTGCTGTGGGAATGGCCCTGAGCTGCTGAAGCTCAGGGAGCATTGGGATACCACTCTCAGCTATAGGGATTGGGTTTGGGTCATGCTGTATGGGATCAGGGCTGGGATTCCATGAACCCTGGGGGTTCCTTCGAACTTGGGATATTCTGTGATTCCATGACTTGTGTTATGCCATTGGGCCCCAGAACAGGGACGTGTTTCCAGCAAATGGACTCGGGCCCCAGCAGTGTTACATCTGGCCTATTTTGGTCTTATTCTGTGTGGTTGCTTTAACATGCACCAATGTCAAATGTTAGGAACCTTCCTGTGCCACAACCCTGTCTTGTGCTCATCCCTAAAACTGTCGCTTAGCTCCTGGGCTGACAGAGCCATGTAATGTTTGTCTGGGTCTACACAGGTGAAACTATCGTGATGCAAGGTTTGGGTGCCCCATAGCACTTGGTGGATTCTACAGCTGGGACACAGTGAGCACAAGTTGGTCCTACTCTGAACACCAGTGATAGAGAAACTCCTCAGAGAGGAAAGGGCAGGGCAGGACACAATCTCTGCCATGGGACTGGGAAGAAGGAGGATGCAGCATCAGTGTGACTCCCCAACGCTGTCTTGTGGTCCTATGGTTTCTCCAAGCACTGCACTGGCTGGATGCTGGTGCCTGCTGGGTGCTGAGCTCAGCCAGGACTGAGCTGCGCAGTGGGAGGAAGACTGGAGAAAAGCTATTGGGGATGATTGACAGCAACAGTCTCTGATGGAAAAAGCAAATCCGAGCAGCTCATGAACACCAGGTCCCTAATTAAAGAGCACAGGGTAGCCCTGCCTGTAATTAATTTCCCTATGCTGCTCTACTGGCAGCCGACTATCAGTGCCACTGACTCACAGCTCCTGGCAGCTGCAGCAGCAGCAGCAATGGGAGGGGAAAGGAGTGGAGCAGGATTTGCTCCTAACTTCTGCTCCTATGTGCTGGGAGAAGCTGTAACACATCTTGATTGACTGGAGGCAGAGGAGAGCCCTGTTGTCCAGAGGGGTTAGCACAGGGCAGGGTGGTATTCATATGCATGGCTTGTTTTCTGCTGGCTGCTTCATGTTCTCTCTTTTTCTCTCCATGTATACATATATTTATTATGGGCTTCCCTTTTCTGTCTGAGGCTGCAACAGAAGTGTTGTCATTGTGATACTTCTCCCACAGGACCTGTGCTTTGCATTCATTCTACTGTGAACGTGGCACACATCTATAAGGTGTGGGGGATGCATTTGGGTTGTGGTTGAATATTCCCTGAGTAGGCTGCAGCCCCGGTGCTATTACTGGATGGGAATTGCTGGGGACTCTGCAGCAGTGTGATGTGGCTGCCATACTACCTGTCACCCCAGTCCTGGATCATGGAAGAGATTCCAGAAATGCTTATTCCTCTGCTACAACATTTCATTATCAGCTGGAGAGGAATTGGGTTGGTCACAGGGATGCTGGCATTGTTCTAATTTCCCAGGAGGTTCCTCTTGGTGTGACATGTCTACAGCAGGGGATTTCAGTTGTCTCGTGTTACTTTGCTCCCTACAATGGGACGTGATATGTCAAAACATGACAAGCCAGCCAGAATGTGTCATAATACTGCACTCAACACACTGCCTTCCAGGGATGCTCAGCAGCTAATAATATCAGGCTCAAATTATCTCTGCATGCTGAGCTGTTATTTTCCTCCCATGTTAAGTGTGATGTATAGGAGTCTCCTGTCTATGTTAGACTCTTGAATCAGCACAGATTGATTAGCTGCACGTGGTGAATTATTTTGACTAGATGGAAACTCAGGCTTAGGATACCAGACTTTCGTGACAAAAGAAGCAACCACCATCCTGCCTTCTTTGATAGCTGTTTGTTCTCTTTTTCCTGACTTTGTGAACTCTGGTGTTCTACCTTTAAGTGTAATGAGGCATCAAAATGCCTGAACATCATGTGCAGCCTTTCAAGGAAGAGAAAGCCTCCCACAGCTGCGGTGTGTGCCTAGGCTGGGACTCCCCAGCGAGGGGGAGGAGAGGATCCCTTTGCCAGAGGTGCTGTGATGAGCTGGGAAGGAGGCACACATGTCCCTGCTTGCACGTGGTATTGCACAAGTGGAGCTTCCCACTGCTATGGTTGCTGCCCATTCATTTTAGCTTCAGCACGTGGTTTAGAGAAAGCAATCTAATTACTCGCTTTTAATTGTAATGGTAAAGTATCGCTGAAACCGTCCCTGTTCACAGTGACTGTTTCTCAGGTCCCCTCTCAGAAGCTGATGTTAGCTGCATGGCTTCTGCCCATCTCTGCCCATCTTCCACGCCCCTCCCAAGCGCAGTGAATCAAAAGTCAAAATACTTCATTGTGATTTGAGGGCCCATTCAGCCCGGCTCCTGAGAAGGAGGCAGGGGGTCATCACCATGGGAAAAGGTTCTTCTCAAGGGCTCTTCAACCCAAGTGGGCTGCCTGCAATTCTTGGGATGAGGAAACCTACTTCTGCCTTGCAAGCTCTGAGGAATCCCTGAATCAAGCCTCGCATAGGATTTCCTCCAGGAAGAGCACTGCCCTCTGGAAAACATGCTCTTTTCACCTCTTCATCAATGCCAGAGTTTCAGGGGGGAGGTAGGAGAGAGGAAGGGAAGCAAGAGCGTGTGGTGCAAAGGTCTGACTGGTGTTGAAGGAGAAGGAAAGGGCACTCTTGGCTCTGAGGCTTTTACAGGCAGTTCTGACCTGTAAGTTATTCTGAGAATCCCCTGCAGTTATGTCTTGCAGGAAGACTGGATCAATCAGAAATTGTTCTTGGAAAGTCACAAAAACTTGCATTTTGAGTGCAGGAAACCAAGGAGATAGCAGCAGTGGATGGGACACAGAGTGGCATAGTGTAACCCAGGCAAGTACCTTCCCACAGACTGAATTGTCCTAAATGTTCCTGTGACAGATAAATAGCCCCAGGGAGACAGCTGCAGGTAAGCACCTTGGAATCAACTTTCCATTAGCTGTGTTTCCAGGACTGACGGTGCAAATACGTAGTGAAGATGGCTTATTTCTCTGACCAAAGTCAGATGCCCCCCAGATGTGAATGGCTGAGGAGGTGCTCAGGATTTCTCACTATGAGTGTGTATTGTTTTTAACTGTTGCCTTGAGTGGTAGAAGATTTGTAATTCTTCATTTTAATTGTTTGGCTCCCCTGGCACATGTTTGTGGTTAATGGCAGCGTGCTGAGAAGGGTGATTTTCAGGCTTATCTGTTAGTTACGAAGAAAAGCGCTCTCCTGCGATCCTGGCTAATTTTCATACTATTTCTGTTGTCCTTTAGGAAGCAAACTGCTGATTTTGGTGCTTTGCTTGAACATCCAGTCAGAAGTGGAGTCTTGCCCTGGAGCGTGTGTGTGCTACAGTGAACCGAAGATCACAATAAGTTGTCAGCAGCAAGGACTGACAGCAATCCCCACGGAGATACCCATCCAGAGCCAGCGCATCTTCTTGCACAACAACAAGATAACCCTTGTGAGGTCCACCAGCTTCACGTCGTGTCGCAACATGACAATTCTTTGGATCCACTCCAACAACATCAGCCTCATCGAGCCTGGAGCCTTCTACGGACTCAACAAACTGGAGGAGTTGGATCTCAGTGACAACACGAACCTGAAGTCTATCAATCCCGTCACTTTCCGTGGTCTTGTTCACCTCCACACCTTACATCTGGATCGTTGTGGGCTCATGGAGCTCTCCACGGGGCTTTTTCGAGGGTTGTTTTCCTTGCAGTATCTCTACCTTCAGGATAATAACCTGCAGAACCTGCTGGATGACACCTTCATAGATCTGGCGAACCTCACCTACCTGTTTTTGCATGGTAACAAAATCAAGAGCTTATCAGAGAACGTCTTTCGTGGGTTAATCAACCTCGACCGGTTGCTTCTGCACCAGAACAGAGTCAGCCTGGTCCACCGCCGGTCTTTTCACGACCTTGGGAAAGTGATGACCTTGTATCTGTTTAACAACAACCTGACCGTGCTCACAGGGGAAACCATGGCACCCCTGGTGTCCCTCCAGTATCTGCGCTTAAATGGCAACCAATGGATCTGTGACTGCCAGGCTCGGTCTCTCTGGAATTGGTTTAAGCAGTTTAAAGGGTCATCTTCAGAGCTGGAGTGCCACCTTCCACCACGCTTGGCAGGGAGAGACCTCAAAAGGCTGCAGAGCTCTGACTTGGAAGGATGCATCGACTCTTTCAACCAGATTCGAACGAGCGTTTTTAGCACTAAGACCAGATCTGGTAAACTGGCCACCGGGAGTCCACCTCTCAGCTCCCATGATGGCTCCATGAAGTGCTGCCAGTCAGAAATGGATAAATCTTTTATATACGAAGCTAAAGGCAAGGCAGGTCCTTCTTCCCACAGCAGCCGGCCGTCCTCCAACAACCCTCTCAAGGATAAGGAGAACATGTCCAAAACCAAGTACGTTGAGACGGACCCTTCCAAAAACGGCAGCAACAAGCAGATAAACGATTCCCCTTTTGGGACCTTCCCCAGCATTGTAGACCCTCCATTGACCAAGTTGAGACCAGAGTTTCTAGAGCCTATTGAACCTTCCACAGTCCCAACCAAAAAGAGGCAGGGCTGCTCTAAAAAGAACAAATCAAAGGCCCAGTGCCGCCTCACCCAGCAAGGAAACAGCTCCACGTTACAGCTCAGCCTAAGCCTTTTGATCCCCCCTTTGGTGTGGAGCTTACTGTTACTCTGCTAAAATTAACTCTTTTTCCTGGGTTGATGACACTTTAATACTAGACTTTTGCTGACCTCCATAAATGTTGCAAACAAAAGCAAACTACCATCCACCCTGAGAAAGCTTTGTTACACAAAAGTTAACTGGATGCCTTTATATAAAAACAAAACACACACACACACACAAAAAAAAACAACACAAAACAAAAGCAAACAAAAAAGACAAACAAAAAGATGTACATAATTTATTTGTCCTGATACCTGTGAATTATACCTTTGGTCTTCGGAACTGCACTTACTCACAAAGCAGGTTTTGCTACAGCAGATGAGAAAGAAATATGGTTTATTTACAGAAAAAAAAAAAAAAAAAAAAGTGTAAGAAATGGTCTGAAAAGAATGTCTGAAATCTGTTTGTAACTTGACATCACACTGAACAGTATTGCAGGTTCCCATTTGCAGAGGTAATGAATTTGATGCTGTTTTAATCCTATGTTTATGAATATTGCAGTTTTTTCCGTATCCATTCCATCACACCATGTTTACGGGCAGCATTTGTTAAAGAATGCTACCTTTTCCTTCACAAGATTGCAGTATATATAGATATGCATTTTATTTTACTTGTGTACAAGTATAAAAAAAAAAATAAAATAAAGATTTCTTTTTCCTAAGTGGTTGTCATCTGCAAGGGACAAAGCACGGCTAAAAAGCTGAAAAATTAAAAGGGTGTTGAGTAATACCCAATCTGAAAGCTAGCTCAGCATTTAACATGACAGTAATAAATAAGACATACTCGGCACAGTTATGCAAGCTTTAATTGGTGCCAATGAAGGGTTTGTTTGCACAAAGCTCTCTCTCCTGATGCTCCTGCTTCCCTTCGAGCTGTCCCATATGCTCCCCCAACGCCATTCATATTTCAAGATGCTCAGAATAGTAGGACTTTTTAGCTGGAGCTGAAGACTCCAGGTTGCAGATAGAGGTGAATAACCTCTAGAAGTCAGATAGGGCCCTTGAAGTATTGATGTCTACGCATGCAAGACCAGTCTGTCACAGACAGGTGGCATGCAGTGCTAAATGGGAGGACCTCGTGCTCAGGCACTGCCCAGAGAAGAGAAAGAACGTTGTTCCAGGTCTACCCAAGGCCCTGGGAACATGTGCTAGAGGAATGTTTGTGCAAGTGAGGCTGAGGGTCTCCAGGCTTCCTGAGCATCAGCGAGGTTTGCAGCATTGGGATTGGTGTTGAGCATCACAGAAGAGCTATGCATGGAGGAGGGAAGGAGAGAAGGATAACAGCAGGGCCACAGCTTAGTACGAGCCTGACTGTATGCTGATGGCGAGGAGGAGGAGGAGAAGGCAACCATGGGAAGGAGGGAGGCAGGGTGGCTGTGTGGCAGCATGAAACTGGGATCTCAGTAGAGCTGCCTGATACCCTTATAACTCCATGACCAACACAAGCACTGATTTCTGCAGCTAAGTCAGGCAGGTTTCTGTTCGAATGCATTGCTCAGCCCAAGAGGTGAAGCAAGAATTCAGTATCCTGTGCTGGGATTCACAAATGCCTTGATACAGCCCTGACAGTCCCTCTGCCTGCATGCATGTCCAGTTTGTGTACACACAGGTGAGTAATCAGCACCTTGCTGGCTGCTTTCTGCCATCCTTGCTTGGATTTGTCCCCTTCATGCCAGTGCTGAAGGTTTTTCTGAGATACTGCATGCCTGAGGCAGGAGATGTCCTAAAACACCTGAGAGCATCTTTATGAGTCTTGAGGGGTTCAACTCTATAGCTGAAATTGAAGCACAGTAGCAGAGAACAGCTCAGCCTGGCTTGGCTGCAGGATCAACACCACTTCAAAGCCTATAGAAAAAATCAGAAGGCTTGCTGGATGCTGTGCTGGATGCTGAAGAAACTTCTATGTTTGGACATAGCCTTGGAGTCTCCTCAAAATGCTTGGATGGATGCCTACAGCTCTACTTGCATGAGGACACCAAGGAAGTGGCAAAAGTCAGAATGAACGTGATAAAAACAGCTGTGTGTTGTGGCATTTCACCATGAAAACTAAACCAGCCCTGAACAGAACTCAGATCTGAGTTTGTCTGTCTCCAAATTGGTATCACAGGTACTTTGGCTTCAATGCTTCTGTGGTTAGCAGAGAGCAGACAAGTGCATTACTGTCACTTACCCTGCATGGACTCTGAGTCGCTTTATGCCAACCCAGTGACACTGTTCTTGCTTTCTAGAGCTTGACTCTGCTGTGCTTTTCAGTGGCTCATAGGACTATACATTGGCCATAAGCCCAGAAGAATCCCTTGTGCTCATTTCCTAGATTTCCTGCTGTCCAGATGCCAATTTCTCTGTTTACAGGCATTAGAAAGCCATTTGAAAGACATGCTATTGAAGGAGGGGGATGTGGTGGACAGCAGGAATAGCTGTGGGAAGCTGGATGAGGCAGGCAGTGAGCTCTGACATAGATGAGGGTAGGAAGAGCTCAAAGAGGGCAGTTTCCCTTCTGCTTCATGCTTTGCAGATAGAAGAATTCCAGATGTGCCTTGATCTGTTTTACACTCAGATGTCACTCAGTTCAGTGGGATTTACAGAGCTGGGCTCAGGGCCTGGTTGACTCTTCCATGTATCGTGCTGCTTGCTCTCTCTTTTCTTGCTGTGCAAGTCACAGTCAATTTCTTGCTCAAGTGCTTGATGCCATGAGTGAAATCAAGTAAACAAAATCATCTTTGAGGGGCAAGAAGCCAGACAGGCTCTGAGTGTGTCAGAAATGAAGAGTAGGAAGTCCTGGGAAGAGTGGGCTCCACACGTCAGAATGCAGAGCTGCACAACTTTGCATGTTAGTCAGAACTCTGCAGACCCTTGGAAATGCAGAGCTTGCTCTTGAAGATGCAGTATGGATGTGAATGTGAAGGCATCCACCACCTTCAGCAGTGTGGACAGGCACTGTGTTTAGGCTCACTTATGTGATTGCATTCGACTGCATAGATCCACACTTACCCTTTGCTGACAGCTCCACATTCATGCCAAAAGACAGACCTTCTTTCCAGGTTTTCAGGTCCATCTGTAAGCACTGCTGAGCTCCAAGCTAGCCAGAGAGCTCATTCTTTTTCCCCTTCTCATGGTACCAAGAGATATTTATCTTCCATCTCTGCCCTCTCCCCTTCCTCCCATCCTCAAGCGGAGGGCAGGAAAAATGGAGCTGTGTCTCTGCCTACAGATGGTGTCCAAAAGCACACATCCTCAGGTGGCCATTTGTCCCATTCTAAATGAGCGTGCTGAGCCACACTCCAGAGTTTCCTCCCTCTCTTATCGTGGCGCCAAGCTGTAACATCTGACACAGGCACATCTCGTGTAGAAGTGATTTCATCAAAATGATTTTGAAAGCATTCTTTTTTCTTTTCTTCTGCATAACTGTGATTCACCAAGATCAAAACTTTATACAGGGATGCTGTGGCTTTGACATCATTTCCATCAGTGAAGCTTTTTTATCAAAGGTATGGAGGAAGAGAGGGGTAATGTGATGTGAAAGAAACCCACTAATGGTCTGGTTCCTAAGAAACTATAGATGTAGATTGGAAAAGGCCTAGATACTCTGAGTTAAGGAGCTCAGGTGGTTCTGGTGTAAGCTAGAGAGAGAATTCACTAACTATCTATGCACTGAAAGTACATCGTAGGGATAGGTGTGAGCCTTATTGCTATAGCTGCTGCAGGGGGCATGCTGGAAACACCGTCAGATGACAGGAGAGGCTGGGAGCAGGACGAGCTCAGGGACTGCTGGCCATGGCCAAGCACTGGGCCTTGGAAGCTCTGCTCTTGACCTGCTGTGCACAGCAGATTGCACTCCCAACAGCGTTTCAGAGCAGTCATTTCACTGCATGCAGGGATCTAGGAGAACTGCAGTGCCCTGAGGTAGACAATCTCATGGGCTCTCTTGGATTCAGACTTTCTGAGTCTACCACTGCTTTGCATGGGTTTGTGGTGGCTGCTTTTGTCCCCTCTTGCCCAGGACATCACTAGGTGTGCGAGGACATAAAAATCGCCTCTCTTGCCCTTTGCCTGAACCAGAAGGCTCCAATACTCAAGCTGGAATTCCAGACAGCACCAGCTAAAAAGCATTACTAGGATCCCCAGATTGAAATCAGCTTCAATAACTGGTTCTTCTTAATGAAGCTCTTCTGGATTCTGCTTCACTGCATGGAGACAAGGTTTCCAACTTTTTCTCAGATGAGGTTGAAGTCCTCAAGAAACTGTTCTGACCCAGAGAAACACCAAACCTCCCAATAATCAGGGCTGTGCTGGGAGAGCTGGCAGTGTTGGGCCAGGTACTGGAACAGTCCCTGGACCCTTCAGTAGCTCATAGAAGACCATGGGGCCAAATGCTCAGCTTGCCTATGATGCAGGGTTGGTGACACTCATCCTACACAGGATCTCCTAAACCTCTTGAGTCACTGACGTTTCCTCATCCCTCTGCTCTGAATTTCAGAATTTCCCTAGATGCAAAGTGATGCATAGAAATACTAAAGGGTGGAAGGTTTTCTAAGACCAAGCCGTGTTTCTGGATTAGTTCTCTATTATTAGATCATGCAGGAGAAGAGCTATTATCTTCTGCCTCCCTCTCAAAACCAGAAGAGATTACAAATAAACAGAGTCCTTTTAAGGTGGTGGTGGGCAGGAGAGTGGAGAGGACAGACAAGATAGAAGAACAGGTCTGGGCAGCCTGGTCTGGTGGTTGGCAACCCTTCATACAGCAGGGGGGCTGAAACTAGATGATCACTGTGGTCCTTTTCAACCCAGGCCATTCTATGATTCTATGATATGATTCTAACATTTCTTAGGGTTGTGCTGTGTTGTGATTGCAGATGGAAAGCTCCAGAGACAGAACAGACTGGGTACAGCCATAGCCAGGACAAGGTATGTCTGAAATTACACAGTGATCATCCTTATAAAGCCAAGCCCAAAACTGTGAGTCTGAGTAGAGGCAGAAATACTAATTAGAGAGCCCCCAGTTTGTGCCATAACTAG